TGGTAGTCAGCAATTTCACAAAAATAAGATTAATGTAAATGGTGACCTGAAGGAAATTACTAAATCTGTCTCAGCTTCTGCCCCTTCACTTATAAAATGAGCACCCCATCCACCCGGCAAGATTACCGGGGACAAGATGAGGTATTGTATGTAAAGTGCTTTCTTAACACTGTGGCTGCCACGTGGCCCCGTGGTCTTTCAACAAATACTCTTCTTCCCCTCACCCTTATCATTGAATGATAAGGATCTTGTTATAGGTCTGTTCAATATACACCTATATGTTAATCATGAGTGGCTCAAATTTAAGGTAAATTACCTAAAAGAGGGAGTGATGGAAATACAATTTATAAATATAATGTGTTATAATATGGTATTATCTATTTACATATAATTGATTACATAATTATACGTTATTGCATACAATTATAATATATTATATTACAGTAGACATAAATGTACAAGAGGCTTCATTAATTTGATTCCTTGTGTATCAAATACATTATGCCAAACTTCCTCCCCAGATTCCGCAGAGACATATCCCCAGCACGCACAGTCTCTGGACGGCTCCCTGGGCAGCTCGATACCACTGTACAGGTCCTCAGAGGAGGAGAAGAGAGTGACAGTCATCAAGGCCCCGCACTACCCGGGGATCGGGCCCGTGGATGAATCCGGAATCCCCACAGCAATTAGAACGGTAAGAAATGCCAGCGCACGCCGCTCCGGGGCTGTGCACAGACTCCACAAAGGGCGGATTGTCAATGGCTTTGTGCATTCCTGTGGTCTTATATAATGAGGATTGCCCTCTGTGCCATCTGAGTTCTCATGAATATTATGCTGTGCGCGGCAGAGAAAGGGAACTGTCGACTGAAGATAATGACCCAATCTGTTTTTCCATTTCAATTAAAAATCACGAAAATTGTGATTCTGTTAAGTGATGAACGTATACTTTGTTTTGTTTTACCTTTTACAAAACAAGGAGTATTAGGGCAACAGAGAGAGAAAAGAGAAGGAACAAAAAAAATGTGAATTCTTTGGCTGCACTGAATTCCCATGTGCATTGCGAATAAACCAGTGATTTGTTTCTTGCAATGGGTGTGTATTACACCAGGAGACTGGGAGCTGTGAATTGGGAGCTGGGAACTGAGACGACTGGAGGGAAGGGAGTTCATGTCATGGAAGGGAAAAGCTGTCTGAAGAAAACACACATCACATTTTAGTGTCCCTCTTCAGCTGTGCCTGCTGAGAGCGCTCCGGGGACAAGTGAATGTGCTCGGATTTTTTTTTTTTTTTTTTTTTTTTTTTTTTTTTTTAGTCTTTAAACTTTGCCAGAGCATTGCTCAGTGTGTCAGGGCAGCCCCTTCTGGCAAAGTTCAGCAGCAGCAGAGGCCGATCTTGGGCAGGCAGCTGCTTGCTGATCCAGTCCAGTTGGAGAGGAGGTTTGTGCTCGCCGGCGGGAAGGACGACTGGGGGCCCCAGCATGCGAGCCGCCGCACCTCTGCAGGTGAATGTGGGGGCAGGGCGGGGAGAGTGGAGCGCAGGCTGCAAACACTCGGTCGGCAACACCCACGTACCTGTGGGGCTGTTGCCAAGAGCTGCCTGCCTGGAATGCAAGCCTGGGGGGCCAAAGACAATAATGGACAGAGGAAAACCACGGGCAAGAGATCAGAAAAAGAGGTCAGGTACGATTGGAATCACTGGAAAAGAACGAAAGACTAAGAGTGGGGGTTTTCCTCTCTTCTTGAATTTGCATTTGTTCTATGGGGATCCCGTGCTCAGAGAGAAGAGTTAAAAATGGATTATTCTAAGCATCTGTGTTAGAATTGGAAGCCAAAAAGTAAACCTGCAGAGCAATTGCTGGGGCTTTAGACTTGTTAGATTCTGGAAATGTTGAGTGTGACTAATTAAAAAGTCCTAAAAAACTATGTTGGAACTGATGATTGTCATATTTAAGTGACAGGAAAAGTTCAGGGGTTGTGATTAACATTCCTAATCTTATGGTGACTATGTGCTTCTGGTGGTGGCGCTTTGTTGTTTGTTTCTCTTTTAAGATTTCAAAATGGTTTAATTTGACATTGTTTCCTAATGATGGAAGGACACAGTGTCAGACAGGTGTGGTGTCATTGGTTTCATTTAATTGACCTTTGAAGCATAATAGATACCCAAATTAGGAGATCCCTGATTCTATGTAGTTATAGGTTCTGTCTGAAGGGATTTTTATCCGAGACTTCTAGGTGTGTTTTTAAATCAATAAATGTCATACAAAGATGGACATGCAAAGCTGGAGCTGTTTTTATCCACAGGACAATTTTCTTAACTAACAGGGCCTTGCTAATTATGTTTTACAAGGAAAAAAACTGAGACGTTATAGATGGTTAGTGAAAATCAAGAAATATAGCATGTTTATATTGTTTATCTCCTGCTAAATCCAAAGCATGATTAGACATGCATAAACAAATGCATACACTAGACATTCAGTGCTAGTTCCCCTTCTATAAAATAGAAAATGAAATATGAGCAACCCAGAAGTTCCTTATAAGGAACCATCAGTTTTATGTACAGCTGTGCTCTTATTTAGACTTTTAAAAGTTTGAGGAGAAGGTACAGGTCTGAAGTCTTAGTCACATTTCCTCCTTTCCAGCCCTGCAGGGCACATCCCCAAGTATAGCTGTGTTTACAGGAGTGGAGTCAGGCCATCTCGGAGCCGCAGCATGCCAAGAATCTCCAAGGTTGTTTTTCTTTCCCATCCACATAGAAAGTAATGATTATCAGACGTACATTGCTTCACACGGCCTTTCTGCTCAGCGTATACACCACAGGCAGTGCTGTCTCATTTTAGACAACCAGCATACACCAAGGACACAGAACTTTGTAAAGTAACCTAGAAACTCGCAGAAGCCAAGAGTTAAACA